ATGTTCGAATGACGGCTGTGTGCCACCCCTGTGCTAACTGAAGCCCAAGACTGGACCACAGAATTTTAGTGACCCACAGGGCTCATCTTAGGGAGACCCCACATTTCCCAAATCACCGGAACCCATGGCTGAGTCTGCCAGAACTCACTTCCCATCGAGCCCCGTCTCCACCTGCCCAAGGCTCTCCCAGGAGTTTCTCTAGTCTCGAAAAAGGTGCAGGTTCCCCAGGAACTTATCTGGAGGCATCAAGCTTTGTCCGTTCCCAGGATAATTCCTCTTCTGGGTAAGCCAGGACCGTAAGCTCGAGCATTTCCCAAGGACGACTCCAAAGTAAATTATTTCAGACGTAACAGAGGCTGCGTAATAAATTCCACTCTTCTAGTTTCTTTGGGTATTTTAGAAACTGATTTATACATACAATCTCTCTCTCTCAAAATGAGACAATCAACACAGGATAAAATTATTGAGTTATGAAAATAGGGGTCAGATGGAGGTGCGGTGCTTTAAATTAAACTGGCAAAATATATCTTTCATACTAAATTGACTCTTTTTGTCTTGGAAATGAATGTTTAATCAGTTAAGATGCTGAAGTCGAGGGAGAAGGCTTAAGCATATTTAATTTTGTAAAAGGAGCCCGCTGCTCCTTGTATAGGACTCCCGCCGGCAGCCATACCTTTAAAGCAGAAGAGCCAATTCCCATGCATGCTGGGAGACCACGCGGGCCGGGCAGGGGACCAAAAGGAATTGGTGGCCTCTGGCATCAGAACCAAAAGGGCTTGGCGTTAATGAGATGGCTGTCAAACACCTTGGCCTCATCCACTGCTCCAAGGACCACATCCTTGACATCTCAGCCTGTGCAGAGAGTACCTGAGGCATCCTGGTCATTGGCGCATCCTCTGTGCCACTGGTGACCCTGCAGCCAAGCTGCTCCATCCCTTGGGCACCTGCTAAAACTGAGAGGTGCATGGTAGACAGCTGCCAGTAAATTCTGGTTTTGTGACCTAATAACTATGTTATACTCATTCATTCATAAACTACTGGTGTCAGGTCATCACTTCCTTTAGGAAGCAATAACCCCATATCTGAGCCAGCTGCCTCTTCTAGGGGGACAGAGCAACATGCACTGATTCTATCAGAGCATTTACTGCATTTTTGAAAATGAGCTCTTCACCTGTCTCTCCACCTGTACCAGGAGTTCCTCAAGGGCATTTTGTAGATCCAGAGTTCAGAACAATGCCTGGTACCTAGCTGGCTCTCAATCAAGGCTGATCACTGTGGTTAAGTCCAAAAATGGCCTCTTCAAGACATCAGATTCGAATCCCTGGAACCTGTAAATGGTACTGTATTTGGAAAAAAGAGTCTTTGCAGATGTGATTAAGTTAAGGCTCTTGGGATGGGGAGATGATCCTAGATTATTCCTAAATGCCCTAAGTACTTAACCATCCTTATAAGAAAGGCAGAGGGAGATTTCTGACAGAAGAGAAGGCGATGTGATGACAGGCAGAGATTGGAGTGATGCAGCCACAAGCCAAGGACAGCTGTGGCTATCACAAGAGGCTAGGAGAAGTATGGGATGGATTCTTTCCCAGAGTCCCTGGAGGAAGGTCACTCCTCCTGACACCTTGACCTTGGTCCAATGATACAGATTTTGGACCTCCATCTTCCAGAGCTGTGAGAGAATAAATTTCCGTTTTTTTTTTTTTTTTTTTGTGGCACGCGGGCCTCTCACTGTTGTGGCCTCTCCCGTTGCGGAGCAACAGGCTCCGGATGCGCAGGCTCAGCGGCCACGGCTCACGGGCCCAGCCGCTCCGCGGCATGTGGGATCTTCCCCGACCGGGGCACGAACCCGTATCCCCTGCACCAGCGGCGGACTCTCAATCACTGCGCCACCAGGGAAGCCCAATTTCCATTGTTTTTAAGCCACGGAGTTTGTGACAATTGCTAGAGCAGCCACAGGAAACTAATACAATCACCTACCTGCTCTGAGCCTCCATTTCCTCACTGCAGTCGTTCCTGCCTCACTCGGAACTTGGGGGCATTAAGTGGGAAAATGTTTGTAAAGCCTCCTGCACAATGCTTAACATCTAGAGGGTGCTGACACAAATTCCAGCATCACCCACATAGCATGCGCATCCATACACAAAGACACACACCTTCAAGCTTCAGCTCAGACAAATTTAAAACAATTGTCTTCAAGGGTGCTTTGTCCCTCTTTGCCATTATAGTCCCAATGGATGGACACGTTCTTATTTGGTTTCCTACTTGGTCCGGCAGCCTTCCCCTGGGTAAAATAGTTCGGCTTATCTTTCATTTCATAACGAGGGAATATAAAACCCAGTGAACCCTTGAAAACTCTTCCTAATGGAAGAATTAAAGCTATCTGAATTTGTGAAGCATCTTAAACATGCACTAGTTTTTAAAGAAATCTGGAAAATGGCTACAAAGTACCTATTTGGACTGAGCCCAACAAATGCATTTTCTAGGAGGAAGGATGGGGGGGTCATCTCTGATAAATAGATAATATCCTTTGTAATTATCAGAGCTATTATAACCAGGTGGCCCTACCAAGGTACCTGTGAGTATCTGCAGTCTGTTCCTTTAGGTAAATGAAACTAATGGGAAAACACTGCCATTTGGTTACAGTGCGAATTCATTTTTATGACTAATAATAACAATAGCAAATATTCCCTGATTGTTTACTCTCTGCCAGACATTTGTTAAGACTTTACATACATTATCTCAGATACACGTCACTGCAAGAAAAGAGGACTGAAGCTCGGGATGTGGGACCAGGATTAATACGGGTCCGTGGGATGCCGGAGCCCACGCATTTATCACTAGCCCACACTGTCTCCACTGACCACCAGCATCCCAGACCAGTGACACTGTGGACCAGAACTGCAGCTAGACACACCCCTTATCCACGGCCCTCCCCAGGGTACACACCAGAGACGTCTGCAGGGCCCCGCCCCTGCCTCTGTTACCATAAATCTCGAACCAGGAGGGTCTGGAATTGTGAGGTTTTTCTTAGGAAATTAGCTGGGCAAGCAGCTAAGGTAAAAGCGTTGTAACAAAGTGGAATTAAAACCACATGGCTGTGGAATCCGCAGGTCTCAGAGAGAGAAGGGGAAGCGGAGAACCTGCATTATTGATGGGCTCGTTCCTCAACAAATGGAGCATCAATTTCCATTGAGCACTTTAGTCAGACCCTGAACAGTATAAAATGTGGGGCTTGAGTTGGCTTCCTCCCTCCCTCCCTCTCTCCTTCTCTCCTTTTACATCTCACTAGCTTCGAAAAAACAAAAGTGACGCGGCTCTCAAAAGTATACATAGAGTATACCAGGTTTTTTTTTTAAGCAAGGAGATTTGGCGGTCATAAGAGTAAACAATAAATAAATAAAATACAGTTAAGACTGTTAGACGATAAACTGTATACCTGAAGGTCCCAGGCATCTGCTAGAATTGGGCCACAAATTTGGCCATGACCTCTGAGCAGCCTCTGCAGAGATAAACATGATCCATCCAACATCATGTGATTCTGATAGGAAATCAATTTAGCGGCCCCTCCTCCCCTCCATAGGCGTGTTTGTGACAAAATCAAGGACTGCTTCCTCCTGGACACAGTGGTGGGTCCAGCCATGCTGTCATGGTCCTCCCTGGAAGACCCAAACTGTCACCTGCCAGAGACATCAGGGAAGATGTTGGCTGCTGGAAGCCTTCATGCCTGCTGTGCAGATGACACTAATGATACTGCTGGAGTTCCTGGATCCAGCTATGCCTGAAACCCTTTGTCCACCCCTGGATATTTCAGTCTTTTTTTTTTTTTGCATCAGCTTATTTGAGTTTGATTACTGTCACTTAGGAATGAACTTAAGGGTTGTGACTAGCTGTGAAGGAAAAAGCAAAAATAAACACACATCACAGTCATTCAGGAGAGGTACTAGAATTCCCTTAAGGAGGTTTTCCCATTGTACAAAAAAATCTCTACTGATCCTCTATAGGTCTTGATTGTTCAAAGCAACCATCCATGCTGAAGAATCATACATTTCCTCAGCATGGTATTCAGGATCTTTATGATCAGGCTCTGCTAGCTTTCACTCCTCTCTCCCTATATAACTCCGTGTCCTTTCTCTCCAGCCCAATAAAAAGAATGACCTACATGCCACTCCTAAGCACAGCATGAGCCTCCTGCCTCTTGCTTTTGTACATGCTGTTCCCTCAGCCTGGAAGGTCCTTTCCTTCCCTGGTCTGCCTGCCAAATTTCCACACATCCTCAAAACTCTAAGTCAGTAATCACCCTCTTCCCTGCTAGCTTAAGCAATACGATATTTTAAAAATAATCTATTTATATGAAATGTGCATAATAGGCAACTATACAGTAGATCAGTGGTTGCCTAGGGCTAGATGATGGGGGCATTTGGGGATGACGGTTAAAGGGTATAAGGTTTCTTTTGGGGGTAATGAAAAGGTACTAAAATAGATTGTGTTGATGGTCACACAACTCTGTGAATATTCTAAAAGCTACCGAACCACATACTTCAAATAGGTGAACTGTATAGTAGGTGAATTATATTTCAATAATAAAGACTTTTTTTTTTTGGCCACACCAAGCAGCTTGTGGGATTCTTAGTTCCCTGACCAGGAATCGAACCCAGGGCCCCTGCAGTGGAAACACAAGAGTCCTAACAATTGGACCGCCAGGGAAGTCCCCCTCAATAAAGTCTTTAAAAAATAAAGATGAGACTATACTATTAAAAATAATAATAAAACAAATAATACCGAGATATTATAAACTCAGCTTCAGAAATAAGTAGTGTGAGGACATAAATTTCCCTCCATGCCCACCCCCAATATTCTGCAGACCCCCATGCAAGTAACCAACCAAGCCCAGACCCTGCCCATGAGCAGAGGGTCCTCAGCAAGGCACTGGCATTCTGCTCCCCCTCAACTCCCTTTCCTGATGTAACCAGCAGGAACCATGGCAGGTAAAAGGGACTCACCGTGGGCAACTGGCCCGATAGCAGGTGGCTGTCCTGGGCCAGCATGTTGGACACCATGATGGCTGGGAGGTCCATGGCCTGGTAGGAGTAAGCAGGGAGCAGCCCGTTGGGCGTGAGGCCGTGGCACAGTGAGTGGTAGCCGGCTTCGTGGTCCCCCAGGTGCAGGAGGGATGGCTCGGGGAGGTTGGGAGGTGTTATTGGGGGGATCTCATAGTCTTCGTTGCTCTCGTTCTGGCTGTTGTAGGTCTAAAACATCAAAAGGGCATGTTGTTGAGGGTCAATGTCTTACAGCTGCAGCACAGGTTTGACAGCACCAAAAATAACAACAATGATAACCCCTTGGCAAAGGAGAGAGGGGATGATCCCTCTGCAAGGCACACAGTCAAGATGGCCCAGTCAGACTCCTGACCCATCCCCAAATGGGTGCTTCCTCCTACTATACAGCCTGTATACAGAAACCTGCCCTCCTGGAGAATGGTGTCAGCTCCTGTTCACCTGTTCTTCTCTGTTTTCCCACCAGATCTGGCCCCTGCAGCCCACCATGAATCCATCTGTCCACACCCACCCATTTTACAGATGGAAAAACTCAGGTCCAAGAGGAAAGCGGCCCATGCAGGACTAGTAGAAGAGCTGGGAGTGGAGCTGAAGTATCCTGACTCCCTGCCCCATGGTCTTCCAGGGCAGCTGGGGGACCTTCTCTTATATGTTCCCAACTGGGTCCTCTCTTGGTCTTTCTCATCTTGGTAAACGGTAAAAACATTCCCCCAGGAGCACAAGCTACGAGCCACACTGGACACCTTCCTTTCCAAACATTATTTGTTCATTTTTCCCACCTCACTGCACTGACCAGGAAGCTCCATTACAATGCTGAATAGAAATGGTTACGAGTGGACACCCTTGCTTTTTTCCTTATCTTAAGTAGCTCAATATTTTTACCACTAAGCATGATTTGCCATAGGTTCTTACAGGTATTTTATAACAGGTTAAGGGCATTCCTTTTTCTTTCAATTATGCATCAAATTTTATTGAATTCCTTTTCCCTGCATCGACTGAAAGTCTCAAGTGACTTTTTCCTTTAATTCAGTTAATATGGTAAATCGCTACACTTGGTTTTTCTAATGTGAAAACAACCTTGCATTTCTGGAATAGACCCTACTTGGTCACTTTATGTATTATTAGATTTTGATTGCTGACATTTTGTCTAGGATTTTTGCATCTAGTTCACGCGTAAGATGGGCCTATGATTTTCCTTTTTCATACTGCCTTTGTTGGGTTTTAGTACCAAGGTTATGTTAGCCAGGGGAATCATTCCTCCTTTTCTATGCTCTGAGAGCAATTAGGTCTAGGAGAAGACTTATGTGTGAACTGCAAGACGGATCCAAGAAAACATGAAGGAGAAGTTTCAAGATGTAGAGGACAAAGTGAGGGTGTCTAATGGACATCTGTTCAATCAGCCTTCTGGAGGGAGAACAGTGAGAATGGGGCAGAGGAATAACTGAAGAGATAATGGTTGGGAATATTCCAGATGAAGGACACCAAAGGTACTGGTGAATATGATGGTAAATCTTACAACAGTCATAAAATATAATGTGTAGAGAAGGAAAAAAACATGAAACCACAACAGCATACAAGAAATCAATCTTCTAACATCCTTATATTCTTTGGTAAATTAAGTATGTGTATTAAAATAGCTAGGGCAGTTGAAGCCCATTACAATATCTGGTTCTTGTGGGTAGGCTCTCAGTAAATATTTGTTGGATGAGGTCACTGAGGGGGTGGGGATGGGTAGGATTCGAGTGGAGTTACGGTGGGAAGAAGGGCCCCATGGTCTCTAAAACACCTGCTTGTTGTTAATGCCTCTCTCCTCGGCCATCTGTGAACCTCACCACAATTCCTGGGGAAGAGCCCTAGACTGCCCTTTATAGCCACAGAAACATGCTCCGAGAGGGTAGTGCCTAGCCACACTCATGCCCCCCGCCTAGGACCCAGAGCCCAAGCCACCTCTTGCTTACTGGCTCCCTCTGCAGGGATCCTGTGAGATTATTTCACAGGTAGGCAAACAGCAGGCCAGGAAGCAGTGACCCTGCTGGCGGCAAAGGGCATCCGGAGCCATCAGGAATAGGATCCAGTCTTCTGACCCCAAGATCTGGCTCCTTCCTACCACATGAAGTTGCTTCCGAGAGCTGGACCAAGCTCACAGGTTTGGGGACCGACCCCTGCCTAGTTGCTCTATATGCATAAAACCAAAGTTATGTATCTCATACTGCACGATCTTAGCCTGTCATTGCTCTCTCTCAGCTCAGTTTCCACACTCGCACAAAGGGGGACAGGGGATGGGCTCATCCACCTTTCAAGCTCCATGGCTAAGTATACACATTAGCTGTTCTATCAATATCCATGGGATTTCAATCCAATTTGATGGGAGTCCCCCAGCTGGTGCCTGGGAGTAACAGAAGGACCAGGAGAGGGCCCAAGGAAGATCCAGTTTCTCCTGATCAAGCTTGACACACAGGTGGAAACCATGTCCTGGTAGGTCTCAGCTCTACCAAAAACAATTTCCTTGAGCAGTTTTTTCAATCAGGGAATATAAATATCCAACATTTATTGAGCATATAGTATGTGCCAGGTGTGAGCACTTTACAAAAGTTTAATGCATTTAATTCTTACAACATCGTTGTGAAGGAGGTTCTGTTATTATACAGCCATTTTATGGATACAGAAACTAAGGCACAGAGAGGGTAATTCACCTGCGAAAGTCACACAGTTAGAAAAAGCTCTCACTCCCTCCTCCCCTAATTTACACTGTCTGCAAAGGAAGGCAACGCTTTCTAGTCTGTGACTTGGATCCTGAGACTCTGGGTCCTAACAATCCTGAGAGGTAGTGCCGATCAAGGCCAAACTGAGGGCTTGGGCACCAAGAAACAGGCTTTGGTCCAGCCTTGTTATTGATGAGCTTGGGAAAGTAACTCCTCCCACTAAAAGGTGAAGATCAAAAGCACGTTTTCTTACACAGGACCCCAATCCAATGCTCTCCCTTACTGTCTCTTACCCAGAATATAGCCCCCATTGCCAGTTACTGATCACCCAATATATGGTGGATGTTTTATGTGCACATCATCTCTAATTATTTTTTCTCCGTAATTTCCTAGGTGTGTAACAAATGGTAGTGCCTCTAATATCCCAGCTGTGTCTACAGTGACCTCCTATGTCTCCTTAATTACAAGTGTGTGTCACCTATGATCTCCCTAATTCTCCAAGTGTGTCTAAACTCACCTGGGACATCCCTCAAATTCCCCAGGGAGGTCTACCTTGATGTGGGTTGTCAACTTTTTTTTTTTTTTTTTT